TTAATCAGCGCTCACTATTGTCCCCACCCTATTGATAAGCTTTCCGTAAGGGAAGGAGAATAAAAGACTGATCCCAGTAGTAAGAAGAGTGAAGGCCTAGTTGGGAACTGATGAGAGAGGACATGAGGTTCACAGAGCTGGAGAAACTGTGGGTGAAAACCCCAGGACATGGGCATCTACACACCCAAGCTATCCAGCCGTAGGATCTTCATGAGACCAGGAAGTCAAGACTAAGAGGTCAGCTAAGGTTACGAGAGGCAGGCAGGAGGAATACAACCACCTGCCTCTATACCCATGAGGTCAGCTCCCACCCAGGCCCTCAGATGCTCCACTCACAGCCCTGGTCCACCTCTGCCAGCTTCTCCACAAGCATAGATGGGGTCCTAAGCACACAGAAGCCTTCCAACACACGTACTTTGTCTCTATGTCCATCCCATTTCCTGGGAGCTAACTGGATGCTTTTAGGGAGTCAAAAACGGTGCCCATTGTGAGACAGCATCCAATGCTATTTTCTTCCAGAGTAGTGTGGTCTGATCCCAAAAGCTGGGGATAAAAAAGGTATGAAAGCTCCTCAGACCTACGAAAATGAGACAGTGCAAAGTATCTGTTTATTTTTCTGCTAAAATCTGCCCACCTCGTGAGTTGCCAAAGCAAGTTAAGTCTCTTGCTCTGAAGCTAGGAAGGTTCTCTTTCCACACAACACCTGCAGAAGATGGAAAACGATACCCCCTGCATATGATAGAACACCAGCTCCCAGTAAGAGGACACCCCAACTCCTGCCAGTGCAGTGCCCTGAGGGGGTGGCTTTTCTACTTTTCTCCTCTTGCTAAGGGGCCTACACAGGCCATCAGGGTCTTCCCCAAGGGCAAAGGACCCCCCCAGCCCCTGTGAGGACTTACTGTTCACTGCTTATCTAAATAGAGTTTTAAAATAATTTCTACAGCTCTTTACCTGGAGACACACCCAACAGGAAGGGCTCTTACTCTTCCCGCAGAGGCCTGCAGACCACAGACTAAATTCACTGGCTCTTACTCAAGCTATAGAAATCTGACCTTGAAATATCCTATCTAAAATCATCCCCTAGGTCCAGTCCAGGCAAACAGAAGCTGATTCTATTTTTTCAAAACACTAGCCCATTCAGATAGCTTTGTTTGTCTTCATTAACGTTCTCAGTGACGAGAAGGGCCAAGGGTTCAAGGCCCAATGTTGCATCTAGAGAGAAAAGGCCTACGGGAAGCTATAAAACTGAGAGAGGTAGCCAGTCCACGAGCCCTCCTTAAGTACTGACCTTCTTGACACATCCTCACTCCCCGGCAGTAACTGCTTACACTTCCTGACCATTGACTCGGGCTCAGACCATATCCTAAAAGCATCACATGGGTTGACTTATTTCATTCCTTTTTAAAAAAATATTTTAATGTATGTTTATTTTTGATAGAGACAGAGTGTGAGATGGGGAGGGGCAGAGACAGAGGGAGACAGAATCTGAAGCAGGTTCCAGGCTCCGAGCTGTTAGCACAGAGCCTGACATCGGGTTTGAACTCATGAGCTGTGAGATCATGACCTGAGCTGAAGTCGGACATCCAACCGAGTCACCCAGGCACCCCAACTTATTTCATTCTTATACCAACCTTGGGGTACGTGGAAGGCAGCCGTGCTCACCACTATACCACCAACACTGCATAATGCTGTGGTAACTGACAGACCTGAGAAACCAGAAGTGTGATTTCAAATCCCAAACTCCAATGAGAGCCACAATGTCATTCTCAACTCAAGGATTACAGCTGGTGCTATAAAGAGGAGCATGCACTTAACTATTAGGAGCATTCATTTGCCTCCCTATCTCCCTGAATCATAAACTGCTAACTTCCCTCCAGTATTCATTCTCCCTTCTTCCTTCTTATAATAAATTCCAGTCCCAAGTTTTGCCTTAGCACATGGCCGTCTGCTCCAAACTACATTTCCTAGCATCCCTTGCAGCTCGATGCAGGCATATGACCAAGCTCCAACCAATGGATTGTCAGTGGAAGCTCTTTAATTACAAACTGCTTGCCTTGGATTCTGTCACCTCCTACTACCCACATCCTGAAACACAGAATTAGAGATGCAAAACCATAAAGAAAGGGGCCTGTGAATGATTTCATGGACCTACTTTGCCAGCTTGGTGTGCTCGCCCTAAGGCTTACATTAGACAGAAATAAACCTCTGTCTTATTTAGCCATTCTCTTTGGAGATCTGTTATAGCAGCATACCCTCTATATTAAATTCAGCACCTTGAGGCCCAACTCTTATCTTATTCTATTCAGCACCCCCAAAACACTTTCTTAGTGCTTAGAACATAGTTGTTACTCAGAAATATTTGTTACATGAATGAAAACACCATTATGTAAACCAGGTGGTACTGGGGACAAATAGACTTAGCAAAGCTCTGTAGATGACCCTTATCCAGGTGGGTACAATGTCCCCTGCTTTTCTGGCAAACAGGATCTCAGGCCAGAGAGTCTATGTTTAGGGGAGCATTTCCAGTAGGGGAGGAGTAAACTTTTACTGCATCTGTTGTCGATTCTCTGCTGAGACGAAGGATTTTGTGCTTAACCGCAAGTTAGCTGAGGTGACTGCTTGTCTTATAATAATAATGAGCCCAAATTGAGCACTTACTTTGTGCCAGGTCCCGTACCAAGCACTTCACACACATTAAGGCATTTGTTTGCATTTAATCCTCATGACAACCCTACAAGGTAGGAGCTATTATTGTTCCCAAATGAGTGAGCCAGGCTCAAAAAGAAGTTCACTAACTTACCTGGGCCACCTGGCAAATAAATGACAAAGGTCAGCTTCAAAGCCAAGCTGTATGAGACCTAAACTTACTCTCTTCTCATCCATCATGCTACTCTGCCTCTTCATGTACGACAGGCTTATATTCCCAACTATGATTACAAGTTTGGAAGGCTAGACCCAAGTATTGTGCTTTTCTGAATAGATGCACAATGTACAGAGCCTCCAGTGTGGCTGTGACACTTTTCCCCTGGGTGTGGCTGGTGAGGGGCTGCACACCCCCCTACCCGGGCTAGCACAGGGCAGAGGGCAAACAGTCTCAGCCCCACGGTCCACCGGGCTCCTTATTGCTCTCTCCTGGGCTGTCCTTGCTGCCTCTTGACCTCCACACCCTTCTTCCTATACCACTGCCACCCACAGCCTATGCCCTTTCCCTCAGCTGCCTCGCCTGGGTTTGCCCTCCCGCCTGGCTCCATGCACAATTCTTGCCTGGCCTTGAACAGCCCTCCCTGAAGCCAGCAGGTGCAGATCTGCCTGCCCACCCTGGGAATGGTGCGGTCCAAGCTTCACTCCTCAGCTGTGCCCCAACTTTGTCCTCACGGCCATTCTTCATCTACAACAATTCCTTCCTGCTCACACCAGAAACTCAGCAAAGTAGCGTCAGTTGCCAAGTAGGGAGACACCAAGCAGGCTTCATCCAGAAGCTGCAAACCTAGGGCCTATAAGCCAAATATGGCCCCCAAATATGTTTTATTTGGCTGCACTCTGCTTTTTGAAAATTGAATTCATCACATCAAAAGTTGTTAGAGTTCACATACAAATTCAGATTTAGAGCCTCCCTTAAAAAGTGAGGAGTTTTGGTGACACTGGATTCACCTTCCCATGCGACAGGGCTCTGGAGTTGAATTTGGACATCCCGCGGGATGGGCATGAACGCCTAGCTTACCACCATCTTCTTCACTCCTTATTCTACTTTGCCCATCCAGACATCCCTTCACCTACTTACACAGCAGGTCTGGCCCCTGTAGGCACTTGATTTTGCAGTGCCTGTTGTAGCGTCTCCATTTTGCTGATGAGCACACTGAGAAAGGGAGAAGAGAAATTATTCTTCCAGGTCTCAAAGTTGAGTTCGTGCACAAATCTATGGCTGGCTCTCATTAGACTCTACTGAACATGCCCCTGGGTACCCCAGGCCCTGCCCAGGGCATCACAGAGGTTCAAATATAGGCCCCTTGTCCCTGCTTTTGCCTAGTCACCACACTCTTCCACACTGCTGCTCCAAACACACAGGCATAACAGAGAAAGGCACTTTCTTTTTCTCAATTTTTAGAAAAATTTTTTCAATGTTTATTCATTTTTGAGAGAGAGAGAGAGGAAGAGAGAGAGCATGAGCGGCAGAGGGCTAGAGAGAGGGGGAAGACACGGAATCCAAAGCAGTCTCCAGGTTCTGAGCTGTCAGGACAGAGCCCAACATAGGGCTCAAACTCATGAACCATGTGATTGTGAACTGAGCTGAAGTCAGACACCCAGGTGCCCCATCTTTTTTCTAAAATTTTTTTAAGTTTTGTTTATTTTGAAAGAGAGCACATGAGCAGGGGAGGGCAGAGAGATAGAGACTCTCAAACAGGCTCCACATTGTCAGCACAGAGCCTAATGAGGGGCTCCATGTCACAAACTGTGAGATCATGACCAAGAGTCATGACACTTGGGGCGCCCGGGTGGCGTAGTTGGTTAAGCGTCCGACTTTCGCTCGGGTCATGATCTCGCGGTTCGTGGGTTCGAGCCCCGCGTCGGGCTCTGTGCTGACTGCCAGCTCAGAGCCTGGAGCCTGTTTCAGTCTGTGACTCCCTCTCTCTCTGACCCTCCCCTGCTCACGCTGTCTCTCTCTCTCTCTCCTAGAAATAAATAAAACATTTAAAAAAAAAAAAAAAAGAGTCATGACACTTAACCGACTGAGCTACCCAGGCGCCCCAGCACTTTCTCTTTTCAACACGTGCAAGCGTCTCTTGCACTGTGTGCCATGATCATCTGATTCTTCTCCTCTCACCCTAAGACTCAAAACTGTCATGTGGATTACACACTCTGAACCTGCTAAGAGGTGACCTTTCTTTAAGTAATCCCTTCTGGGCTTGCGTCCTGGTGACGGGTGTGTGCATAGGTGTGTACATGTCTGTGCTCAGCTCATGCTTCTGGACTAACACTCCATCCCCTCACTAATTTCCCAGAAAGGTCAGAAGTCAGCATGTGCCCCAGTCGGTGAACCAGACAAGCGTCTGTTCTGTCCCACTGCCCCATCAAAAGGGACAGCAGCGGCCGGTGCCTGCCTTGATGGGGTGAAGGGTCAGGGTTGCCAGACCTTCAATTTTGCAAGAAGCAAGAAATATCATTTAAAACAGGCAAGCAGTGGTTTCTATTAATAAGACCAGTGCTTAAAACAAGCCCCCAAGAGCCTGAGGCACTTTATGGGGATCAGGTGCTGGAGCGGAATGACAGAAAATGAAGGCTCCCCTTGAAATACCCCCATTGGAACCGTCAGCAGCAGGTCCTCAATCCCCTGCCATGTCCTGATGCCCATCTGAGGACACAGAAGAGGACCCAAGTGTGCCTGGCTGGCTTTCCCCTCCAGCCTCATCCTCTCTGACGACAAGACAACTAAAATGTCTTTGACTTAAGATTGTTTTGATTCCCTGTTTGTTCTGTGCTTAAAACAAACCTTCCTTTTTCCTTTTGTCAACAGTCTTCTCCCTAGAACCCTCAGGTTCTTAACTCACACTGCATTATCTAGATCTTTCCAATAAGGAGATTGCAGCTTCCATTTCTTTGATTAAACAACCCTAACAAAGAATTCATGGATATGAAAGTACTTATCATGAAGCAGGTAACATCCTTTTCCTCCCCCAAATCACACACCATATAAATGGCCTGGCCAAGGGACTTCTTTGAGCAGTGGCAGATTCTAACTACTCTTACACTTACAAAGCTTTAAAAGAGAGAAAGAAAGAGAAAAGAACAATTTCCAAATGAGAAAATGTCACAGACAGCCACAAACTAACTTCCCAAGGGATGATCACTGTGATGCAAATACTCTTTCTCCAAGTACAAAACGTCCACGTGAGGGTCTGTGCCTCCTGTGTGGGCAGTCGCCCTTCTACTGCAAGGTGATGATCAGGCCAAGGGTATGTCCCAGAAAGGCAGCCAATGAGAGGCTGGCTCGTGCTGCGTCCCCATTGGCCAGGCGTGGCACCAGCTGGAACTGGGACCAGCTTTGAGGACAGCAGAGACTTGATAGGATTCTCTCTTCAAAGCATAGAGCACACATCAATTAATCCTCAAAAGATGCTTTCAAGGAGAACATTATCCCTTTTGAGGATGTGGAAGCTAAGAGGTGCGGCAGGTAGTTGAAGGGGAGGGTGGAGGAGAAAACAGAGCACTGGGCTCTGAGCCCCAGATCTGGTTCTCCAGAGAGAGTCAAGTTGCGGGAGAAGAATGGACCCACAGAATTGGGGCAAAGGAGGCGACAGAGAAACTGCTGCTTTGGAGGGTGCCCCTCAAGTCTGCCGCTGCTCCATCCCAGAACAGGCTGCGAAGTGAAACACAGCCAGAGTCCTAGGTGTGCCCCAGGCCAGGGTCCAGAGAAAGGGTTCAAATTATGGGAACTTCTTCAGCCTAATGACCACAAAGTCTATGGGAGGAGGAAAAACTGAAATCTGGATCCAATAGGCCATACTGCGCCTGTTTTGGTAAACCCAACCCCCTTCTTGAAAGGGGGAGGTGGGTGTCTGTAAACACAGGGGCTGCCCTGCCTGGCTGGTCTTTCCATCTTAAGAGAACCATCCAGAGCTTCCCACACCTTGCACTCTCAGGGATCACCGTCTGTCGCTGTGTCTGGCAATAAACGTCACACATTCTCACGTTACACATTTATTCGACCTTTAATATTTTGCTCTGAGATACCTGGAGAAATTGTATGCCCCGGATCAGATGTTACTAAAAACACATCCCACAATCTCTTCTCCACACACAGGCAGTGCTGTCACCGTACACACTGATTTCTATGGTCAGCCTGCACCTTGTTAAAAACTTAGGTTAACTTTCTTTGCCACATACTACATACTGTTTGCCTGACTAAAGAAAGCCCAGGCCATGTGCAAATTATAGACTGATTAGAGATATTTAAATGTTTGTAGGAAGGATTTTCCTAAAGGGTCAGAATGAGTTCTCTCTCAATTTACCATATAGCCAAAGAAATAAAGGAAATTACCCTACAAATGAATTTTTTCCTACTTAATTCAACTACCTACCAGCTATTCTAGCATAGCTTTGCATATATATATATATACGTGCCTTCAGAGCCACTGAAAATGTCTGGAACTGGGGCGCCTGGGTGGCTCAGTTGGTTAAGCATCCAACTTCAGCTCAGGTCATGATCTCGCAGTTCGTGGGTTAGAGCCCCACGTCGGGCTCTATGCTGACAGCTTAGAGCCTGGAGCCTGCTTCGGATTCTGTGTGTCTCCCTCTCTGCCCCTCCCCTGCTTTCTCTCTCTCTCTCTCAAAATAAATACATAAATAAATTTTAAAAAAAAAGAAAATGTCTGGAAGTGATGAATCACTAACTTCTACTCTTGACACCATTATCACACTATACGTTAACTAACTTGGATTTAAATAAAATTTTAAAAGAAGAAAAAAAGAAAGAAAGAAAAAGAAAATATCTGGAAGGATATACACAAAAAATAACAAAAAAACAAAAACAAACAAACAACAAACAACAAAGGCCTTAACAGTAGGGAGCAAAATGGGCAATTGGGGAAGAAGTCTTTATTTTTTCTGTTCTTTTGCGTCTTGTTTTATGCACTTCTATGCATGTTTGCCAATCAGCATGTTACTTTTAAAATGTTTAAAATTTTATAAAATGAAAAAGTTACCTTCAGATCCTTTATTTTTCTCCAAGTGTGGCATTCTGTCCCGATGCCTATGCAATGTAAGTCAGTAGGTTTTGGAAACATCTTGCTGTCTTTTACAAAAAAAAAATTACAAAGTTTCATTGTAATACACTCAGGTCAACACTCAGGTCATTTCATCCAGAATGCATGAAGCTGAGGAAGTACAACTCCTTGAAACTCACTTTACAGAGGAGTCTGAAGCTACATCAGGCAAAACTAAGTCAGAAACAGCTTCAAGACTAGGAAAATGATTCAGGCTTCTTGACCAGATTGGCTTAAGAATAGACTGAGGAAAGAAAAAAAAAAAAAGAATAGCCTGAGAAACAGAGCTGAAAGGCTGCCATTCTGCACTAGTGGGACCCGGCTCCTGTCCCCACGCCCCCGTCCCTATCACTGGCCTGAACACGCAAATTCACAGAACCAGCCAAAAGGCTGGAGACCCTCCAGTTATTAAGATCATCTTCTTCTTCTCTTAAAGAATGGACTTTCAAAGTGACACCAACCTGTTCCATCATTTAAGTGTTTATCTAGAGAATATTTCAGTCGGAAGCTTGAGAAACTGGTAAGAGCCCTTACCAGTTGCAAAGTAATTAGCAAAGAAGTGGGGGGGGGGAATATTGGAGTGATGAGGCCAATAGGAAATCCAAATTCATTTACAGGATTTTCACTGACTGCTGCTTTTTGCATGAATAAAATTAGATACAGTTGCTCTCAGCAAATCAGCGATCAGGGATCCGAAATGCAGGAAAATGCAAGTTCGGGGTCTTTCGGACTCCAGGTATTTGGTAGAGCCAGGCAGCAGGATCTAATTGTCCATTCCAGCCTGACCCTGAAATCAAAGCTCACAGTCACAGAAGTTCTGCAGCTAATCAGTTACCAGTCACACTTCACTCCTCACGGTCCTTAAAGTCACCAGATGGAACCCAAATTTGCAATAGACCAGGATGCATTCCTTTTGGGGCAGAGATGTCCTTCCAATTCTACTTTTGCCCTCTCCATTCTGATACTGACATAGAAACGAAAGAAAGCAGGCTAAGAAAACCCTCCCCTTTAATATTCGTAAGAATTGTGCAGTCCCCGGATGATCAGAGCCCAGGCTACATAGGACTTGAAAGAACGATGGAGACTTTGATATGGAATATGAAAACGTAACAGGCAGGAAGAGCAGGCAGACCAAACCGGGAGGCCCAGGGCCCCCCTTCTCCCAGCTCCAGCACTGACTCCCCAGTGACGATCGCTCTGATTTATTAAGCAAAGATGATGTGTACTTACCTCTCTACCTTTTCATCTGAGATGAAGGAGATAAATTTCAAATGGTTTATCTGCCATGACCAAGTAATAATAATAATGATAATACAAATGAGGGAAATAGGAACCGAGCCCACCCTTTGTCTTGTTTCTAAAGAGATTTCACATGGGCCATTTCAGCATTACCTGTAGTGAGACAATGGATCATCATTATTATTATTGGCCCCATTTTAGAGAAAAAGCAACTGAGGCACAGACTGGTGACCTGACCAGGGCAGTGTGGTTTGTGGAAGCAGCATGGCCCTGTTCAACACGCTGAAATGTATTCCATGCTACTGGTCTCTGAAGACCTCTCTACGTTGCGCCTACAAGACTTGGCCTTATGGGAGACACAAAACACGGGCCTCCTCCATATCAGCCACTAACCTTCTCCTAAGGCTCACCCTGCTTCTACACAGCTTAGTTTGCTAAGACACTCTCAAAGTTCTGCTGGCCAAGGCATGGTGGGGTCCAGGGGAGGTAATGGACACTATATAACCCATGCGTAAATGTGGTCCAGAGCAAACATCCACAACCCTGGGTCCCTAGGCGAGGAGAAAAGACAGCGCCAAGACCAAGGAGTGAACCCCTGGGTGCTGTTGGAGGGGGCTTCATAACTCAGGGGTGTTTAATGGTTTAAGGCATTAGCAGGAGCACCAACTTACCTGCACTCGGGTATAATTTCTATTCTTAGGCAAGGACTGTCAGGAAACTTATATTCTAGAATCTAGATCACCCACTGCTACTAAAGAGCGGGGTGAACTGGAAGAAAGACAGAAACAAGAGAGTAATAGTATCTTCTACGGCCTGGCCTATTCTTTGGGGCTTCTCATAGCTCATCGCAATGTGACAGCCTCAGGCATCACATGACTCCTCTTAACTTTCTTGACCTGTGGCATAGGGAGTGGGTGTCTATGGCTCCTTCCATCCCAGATACATCCTCAGTGACCACCACACCCCAGTTCCATTACTCAAATTCTCCTCTGCAGGTATCACAAGATGCCACTGGTGGTTCTCCAGCTCCACAGAACCCTCTCCCCGGACTCCCTCTCCTTGAGGCAGAAGGAGAGCATCTTTCCCTCTTGTCTTAACACACCTGTGACAGCCAGCAGGCAGACAGGCGCACACACACACACACACACTTCCCTGAACATTCTCAATTTACTCAGGGATCCATGAGGCCCTTTGGGGGAGCCAAGAGGGGTGAGGAAAGAGAGGAAGAAGAAGGGTCAAGGTGGCAGCCTGGCACTGGCTTTGTGAAGGCCCCCCAAGCTCTGCAGGGGGCTGAGGAGAGAAGCTGCATTCCAGGAATGCAGGGGGACTGGGCAGACCTGTGTGGAGCATGGATCCCACTCTACAGGAAACAATGTTTCTGAAAGAGCACACAGGGAAGAAGAGACTATGCCCAGGCTTAAGAGCGTAGCTGTTTTCTTCCCTCCCTG